GTGCAAAACGTTTTTGGCAGGACTGGCCCGGCCCGGCCGTAAGCCCGTAGCGACGGCGATGGAGCGAGGACGTAGCACGACGTGCCCGCCCGCACACGCTTTCATTCAGTGCTTGCCTGCGTGGCCGCCATGACGTGGCCGACCGTCGTGATATTTTTTTCTTGCACAAAACAGATATATACAGCAGCCTACAGTGTAAAGGTTTGCTTCTTTTGGCTGCGAACCTGCGTTGGGTCGTTTTCCTTTTTTTATATAAAAAAAAGGGCTGTCGTTTGGCTGCGAACGTGCAAGTTGGAGTGTACTGTACGATCAGGCAGGTCATCCGGTGATAACATGCAAACATTTTGGACAAACTTACTAATGTTCGCTGTATAATCCATTATGTACCTCAATGGTTGCAGCCTATCATTCGGTGAAGCCTATTCGGAGAATATTCGGTTGTGAAAATTAAAGCTTTACTGTGAAAAGAGGCACCGTATGATTTGATGCCCCTAAGTGAGACTTGGCGGATCATTCGATGATGCATTCTTCAGCATCTCTTTTACAATGGTTAGATGCCTTCTCATGTGTTTATTGGTGAAGTGATTGGAATCGGCTAAGATTTTGTGAACACATGGTAGAGATGTGCCCATATGTGTGATGAATGATTGACAAGTGTGACAGGTTTGAGGCTTTCTCGGTTGAGTCATATTTCATATGTGCTTGATTATGTTAATGGCTAACCTGAGGTGTTGTGTTGAGTTGTGTTGCGTTGAGTGTGTTGTACAACATGTCACTTGGCTTGTGATGTGCAGGTGATAGGTGCGCCAAGACGGTCGACGGCAATGGAGAAGGTCAAGTGCCGAGTTTGTGCGCGATGGACCGGGAGCGGGGAAGGGCAGACGAGAAGGCTTGGACTAAGGGGCCAGAGGCCGGAGAACGGACCATTGTGCGGCTCACTTTGGGCACACAGGAAGAGCAAGAGTACATGGGTGATGGTGTCGTCGCACTTGGCGGAGGACGGACACACATCTTCATGGGTGATGAAGATGGCGTCGGTCAAGTTAAGAAGGAAGGCGAAGGCGTCAAGCCTGGCGGAGGTCGGACATGCGTCGACATCGGTTAGTCATGCTTGGCGAGGCGTGCACGAGGGTTTGCCGGTTTGATCCTCAAAACCGGCGATGGACGGTTTGGTGGTTTGGGCCTCAAAACCATCAACGACGGGTTTGACCGGTTTGGACCTCAAAACCAGAAGTGGCGAGTGGAGGATGTGTGGCACCATCGTGAAGCTTGCATCAAGGTGAAGAGAAGTTGTGAAGGAGCCGAGTACATCCGATGTACTGACAAAAACACCCTTATATGAAGCATACAACTCAATACCCTCTAGGTGTAGGCAGCTATCTTTGGAGGTTTCTCTCTCATTTGTGTGGTGCTGAGAGAAGGCTAGGGTTAGAGAGAGAGGAGTGGCTCTTATTCTTGAGCTTTTTAACATCTTAGCATTGATTTAGCTAGGCGTGGGTTGTAATCCGACATCCTGAGTTAATCCAAGAATCAAATTCGTGCTCTATTTATTCCTCTCTCTAAATCTAAATTTTTTCTCTTTGTCATTTTCAGAGCAACTCCCTCCGTGCCGTTTTACTAGGCGCACAGCCATTTTTCAAATCTACCAGTATAGGAGGCCAGCTAGGTTATTGAGGATCATTTAATTACTCGAATAGGCAGTGCCGGCCCTGGAGAGGTGCGACGGCCGGGGGCCCATTGGAGGGAGGGGCCCAGGCCCAGGTATACTGTATACCTATACAGAGACCCCTGGCCGTACGCCGCGAAGAGGCGGCAGTCTGTCTGACACGAATGCGAAGAGGCGACAGTCTAATCTGATCACGGCGCCGCAGAGGCCACGTTAAAAACCCCAACCGTCCGCTCCCTCCGCCTCGTCGGCGCCCTGCCCCTCCACCGCTCCACGACGTTGCCTCGCTCCGCTGACCGTCGTTGAGTGCGTGCGTCCGTTCCATCGGTCTCGGTCGACGCCTCGTCAGTCGTCGCCCGGCTCCCGCTTGGTGTTTTTTTCATGCGATGCTGGTGCTTTTTGGTAGATGCTGATTTTGCTCTTGTGGTTTTGTTGCTAATTTGGCGGCGATCAGGCCCTCCAATCACTGCAGCCGATCGGTCATCACTTCATCAATCATCAATTCATCAGCCGATCAGGCCCTAGCCCCTAGTATTTTTTTGATCATTTTTTAATCTAAATTAATTACTTTGGACTTTTAGTACTCAGTACTCATATATTTGTGTTTTTCTTCTAATTTAGGTGTTAGAATTTTAGAATGTTACCTACAAAACATTTGTCGGGGGCTCAAAAAAGAAAACGGAAAAAACTAGAAGATCAATTTATTGAATCTCAAAAAGGTGCTACAAGTGACTTTGCCAGATTCTTTGATGTCAGCGCTCGAGATTCTGGAGTTTGTTATAGCTGCAGATTGCTAAACAAATGTTTCAGTTGCGTATCGAATCAACTTGACTGTATCTGTGACTGTAGCTTTGGCTGAAAGAAGTTTCTCAAAATTGAAGTTGTTGAAGAACTATTTGAGATTAACTATGTCATTAGAAAGGTTAAATGGATTGGCCATGTGCACCATCGAGAGGGATATCTTGAACACTATTGATCTCAATACCGTCCTTGATGATTTTGCATCAAGAAACGCCCCAAGAACTATATTTTTATGAGAAGCAATGGATATTATGGAGTTCTATTCTTCTTTAAGGTAATCATATTAGTTTTACCCTACATTGTTCCTCGATAATTATCAAACATGTTAAATTAAAAATATATTACTAGATTTGTTTTCGCTTTGCAAGAAAAATTAGCGCATATATATATATATTATAAGATTTATATATAGTCTAGAGGGGCCGCGATGAGTTCGCCAGAAGGCTCTCAAAATCTTAGAACCGGCACTGCTTATAGGATCCGGAACAAGAGAAAAGAGTGCCAGTTGAGTTTGGGAGTGAAAAATACGCAAAACAGGTAGGCAAAGGAGAGTTAATACGTCCATGCATGCGCAAGGTGGTTACTCCGTGCATGCCGCGCGCCGGTTAGTATGGCTGAGTTAATACGTGGTCTTGGTATCTGGTATGATGCCTCTCGCGCCGGGTAAAACGGTATGGAGTGAGTATTTTTTTTATTTTCGCTCGTCGGTTTTGACTGAGATATGGGACTGATTTTTGAGGGATTTTGGTGCTAGGACATGTGTGATCAAGGCTAGGGTGATTTCCTAACAAATCCTTCACTAGAGCACCACCAATTTGAGTTTTCCCCAAAATTTGTTCCTCACCTAGGGTTCTTGGATTTTTTGGGATTGATGGTTAAATACTCAATCTTGTTAAGGGCTTCCTGTTGGAACGGATCCTACATGACGTAGTGATGCTGTGGTTCGAATTTTGTCTTCAGCCGGTCCTTGATTTGGTTCGTTTTCGTGAGATTTGGAGCAGCTCAGCTTCCCGTTTGTGCACTGTGTCGTTTCTGAAAATGTGTTCTTCAGTTTGCCTGCTCCTTCTCTTTGTGCCATTAGTAGCAGCTTCCTAGAGTCTCATATTTGCGGGTTAGCTAGCAGCAGCAGTAGCTAAGCCCAGTTCGCCCTTCAGCAGGAGTTCAACAATAGTGTTCAGCTTCAGCAAGAGTAGCAGTGCACTCTCGGCTGTGCAGACCGGAGTTTAGTGCATTAACCACAGCTCAACTCTCCTTTGTTATTTCGTTTCTTGCGTCAGACGCATTTTATTTCTTTGCAGAAGCAGCCACAATATCTGTTCTGCAGCTCGTCAAAGCTACAATTTTCGGTTCAGCATCAGTGCAGCAGCAGCAGGCAATTATCTCAGCAGATCGAACAGCAGCTGTACTTTTGTTTGCAGGGTGCAGGTAATTGAATTCTTCAGAGCAGCAGTGCAGTTAACGTCTTGCGAGCAGCAGGGCAACAACACAAATTTGATTTTCAGGTTCGAATGGTGCAATTGGAGTAAGAGGAGCTGCAGTTCATGAATTCACTTGTATGCATTCACTACCACAATCCAGAGATTTCGTGAGAGTGCAAAACACGTCACGGAATATGGTTTTACTCTCACGAAAATAATGCGCGAGGGTACACCGTCGTGCATCAACTCTCACGATAATAGACACACGAAAATACCATTCTTTTCGTGGCGGGAGTCCGTGACGACCACTCTCATGAAAATAACGTTGCCACCAGGTTTGCATCGGTGTTTTCATGACGGCTTCTTGTGGTATTTCGTGAGAGGTCACCGTCATGAACTGATTTCGTGAGAGTTTGGTATTTCGTGAGAGTCACCGCCATGAAATGGATTTCTTGAGAGTTTGATATTTCGTGAGTCACCGTCATGAAATAGATTTCATGAGAGTACCACAAACACACAGAAAATATAGTATTTCGTGAGACTACGCCACCACGAAAACAAGTTATTTCGTGAGTATAAACCACCATGAAAATTACCCAACTGGAGCATCTCAATCCAAATTCCAAATGCACACATATGGTCCAAATGTCAATTCAGCACACAAATACAATAAATTCCAATACATGGATATATGCATCTGATTCCAATCCCATTATATTCCAACTTCATCCAATTGTCCAACCATTACACTAAAAGACAGTATTGGCTCATAGTCCTAGCCATTCAACATAATAAGTTCTAGTAGCACATACATACATACATACATACATACATACACACACACATATATACATATATATATATATATATAGCCAACCCTATTTAGTACTTGGGTACTACTGAGTTATTTGGTACCCAGCGTCCTACAGGCGCGCACGCGCATCCTACGTCGGGACCGAGCATGCCCATGCACCTGGGCCGCTGCAGCCCAGCCCGGGACTAGAAACCAAGGTCCGAGGAACACATCCAAACGAAAACACGACCGTCGACCGTGCGCACCTTCTTCCGAAAAAAAATTGGATTCGGTCCATCCGTACGCAGCCCTGGTGCAGACCATGTCCATGATGTGTGGTGCAGACCGTGCCCATTTAGGTATGAGGTCCCTTTGCGACAAGACGAGAGGTTACCCTCCTCTCCTGGTACAACCTCTGCATCAGCTCCACCAAATAGAGGTGCAAAGGGGAATGGCTGTACTATAATTTTAATCTATTGCAGTATGGAGTTAGTATTTTACAAATGACTAGATAAAATTAGATATATTCATTTACAACTTATCTAATCTTGTTTATGAATTTTTTATTTATATTTATATGATCTGATGTATGTACACATAATTAGAGAATAATTTAATATTCATGGATTTTAAATTTTGCTATCTTAAATTTCCATTATTCTTTTCATTCCACTTTGGCTTGTCCTTTTGTTAATTAACACTTTTCATCTTGTTCTGAAAGCTCACAAGATTTTTCTATTCTTTAAAATCATCTACCTTTGTTGTTTATTATTTTCCTTGTCTGGTCCTTTTGGTATTCAGATGCAAGGCATTCCCCTTCTAAGAACCCTGCGGTAGCACCTACTTCCTGTGACCACTCTCAGAGAAGGTATTGTTTCTTACAATCTTGTGTACCAAATTTCCCACCAATCATAATCGTCTGAGGCATATCAGTGTACTCTTCCAATTTGTATATTCTGTACTAACATGCTACACAAAAATCTCCTTCTATCTCCTATTTAACCATATCCCTGGTTTTATTTTTTTTTCCCAAAAGTTCATGGATCATTTTTTTCTATTTGTTTGTAGGACTCATGCTGCTCAGCATACTGTGGATAGGGTCCCGTGTAACCTTAAGAGGGTGGTTTTTGAGAGCTCACAGGAGAGGTTCATACGTGTTTCAATTTATTATAATTCTATTTATTTTTGAGAATCACCGATTAATGTTAATTCTTAGTCTGTTGTTAAAGTTTATCTGTTCGTGGCCTTTTTTTAGGTTTGAGCATCATATTTGACCAGAGCATGTGTTGCCTTCTGCAGCTGGTCACGACAGTGATGACGACGACTTCATGCCCATTCCCAACACCCGTTCATCCTCACACATCGACAAATTTAAGGATGTTGGTCCGAGGAAAACTAGGCAAATACAAGCAGGATTGTCGACCGATGCATGTACAGAGGTGTATACCATTTATTTACTTCTGCACTTTCTTTTTATAAGACTTATCATTCTAAAGCTCCTCTTCGTATATATCACTAGTTTGTTTTTTCCATCAATATACCACAAATCTACTATCATTTTTTTGTTGCCAAATCTCTACTTTTCTATATCTGTTTTGCTTTCTACTACCCCTGTAATTTTTTTCAACTACACTACCCCTGCATTAGTTTATCATTCCTACATCCCTTTCCCCAATTATTAGTTTTTTTAGAAATCTGTCTTCTTCTCGACTACCCATGCATCAGTTTATCATTTCTACAGTGCTTTTCAGAATTCCGAGTGTCTCTTCTTTTTTATCCATTCTTGTCCTTACTATTTCTAAAATTCTTGTTATTTGTCCCAGGCAAGACAAAGGAAAAAGAGAGCTACCAGCCGTTCTTTCATTGTAAATGTTCGGCAATCCCAGAGATGTTATTTTCACCACTAACTTGTTGAACCCACAGCAATATGTTGCTATCGAAGCTGATGGGTTTGGTCATTTGCTGAGAATGAAGATCGATGCTGTAGAGAACAAGAATCTGCTAACCTGGCTATTAGACCACACTGACCCTGATCGTATGCTAATTAGGATTGGTGCAGGCAAGGTCCTTTCGATCACCCCACAAATAATTAGCATGGTTCTTGGTTTGCCTATACGTGGTGAAAACTTCAAGCAATACTCATGGAAGGAAGGTATCATATTTCGCCAGCAGCTTATCTCTTGATCTTAACCAAGGTCTCACTGAAGACTGTGACATACATATATCAAACCTGCAACAAGAGATCTTAAAGGGAAATGTGAACCCCCTCATGAAGAGATTCTTCTTCATGATACTTTGCAACAGGCTTCTACTTCCCAGCAGCAGTAACAACATTGGTTCAGTTGACATCAAGAGGACAATGGATCACCAATTGTTCAGAGTTGTTGACTGGTCCAGGCTGTATTCAATGATCTCCAGATAGCTGTTCGCAGCTGGCACGATCGTGACAAAAATCAACTCACTCAAAACATATATGGTTGTGCCATTTTCCTGCTAGTAAATTTCTTTTCATCCATCCATCTTTTTATTTATTTTTTGCAGCTTTCCTACCACCTAACAATGTATGGTTGTGCCAATTTTTTTCACCCCTTCTTTTTTTGTCAACAGGTATACTATCTCGACAACATTGACCACTCTGTCTCATTGGTGGACCGGACTTCGACTCCACGCCTCACCTTTTATGATAATGCTCTAATAGATCACTTAACTGTTGCTGATACAACTATAACCACTCAGGTTGCACATACTTTTGGTGTCCATCCTGTGAGTCAGCTATCTTATCTGTTATATTCCTTTTCTTTTTACAACCATATTATTAAGAAGCTTGTTTTCTTCACTTCAATACTATCTCTAACAGTTCAAGCCATGGAGTACCACCTGCTATGCTGCAGATGTCCGTGGTGCTCCCTGTCATAACATAAATGTTCCTGCGGCAGGAATACCCAATTTAGACATCCCACGCCTCCTGGATTTGTTATTTGAGCCGCTAGATGATCTGACTGGCTCGCATAGAGAGAGAGTATGGGGTTTCTTTTCTGAGTTTGATCACACACTCTCTCAAAACAAAAGGTCCATTGAGAATTCTATTGCAAACATTGTGAGAGCCCAGTTTCAGTTAGCTGATCAATGTCGTCCAATCATTCATGAACTCGTGGCATCACAAACCTGGGACACCAACATTCCAGGTGACACTTCTAGGACAATGCATACACGCAACGATCATGGTACCCGTGAATCAGCCCATTGTACCCCGCCTTCAATGCCAGGCAAACTCTTGCTTTAGTTGATAAATTCGTTATCTCACCCTATGTCTTATTGCTACGTATCAAATATAGTCACACATTTTTTCCATTTATGCCCAGGTCATGAGATTTATTCTCATGGTAGCTTTGTTTTTGCTGGTACTTTACTTCGGAGCCAGATTGATGAACAATCACCCGTTCGCAACACTCCAAGTATTGTCTACTTCCCCGATTGCATGTTTTTTTATCTCCATTCTTTGCTATTTCTATTTGTTTTGTTATGTCATTTTCGTTATGTTTCATGTCTTCCACATTTGTAGGTCCTAGTTCATTTAACCCCACTTCACCGACAGGCCCATTTGGCTCCCCTGTTCATTGTGTAGTTTCACCCCCTCATATTTATGAGGACTTACCTCGTCCATCAACTACACCGATGCGCACCTCTTCAAAAGATGTTTCTGGTGCACCCCTCATAGTTTGTTTTTCCTCATATTTTCGACTATTGTTCCATTGTGCTAACTGCATCACTTTTTTTCTATCCTTTATTATGATTTCTCTTCACGGATACTTCAGTTTTCTCACATGCTCCTAACTCTTTTCCCACCTCAGGTATGTCCACGGCCTCCTTTTCATGTTTACAATTTAGTTCTTACAGCAAACTGAAATTATATATTTTATTTCCTTTTCGTCCATACAGGTTCCTTCATTGTCACAAATGATCCTACTGTTCATCCTAACAGTCCAGTTCACACTCCAATTATGGCTCCAGTACGAAGCACCACCTCGAAAGACGGCAGCCCAACACCTTCTCCACACGGTTACCATGCTTTTCTTTTTGTTTCATAGTTTTTCCCTCAATTTTATGTCTGCTATTTTTCATCCTACGTACTTTCAGCCTATGGGTTCGATTATTCTCCACTTTTTCTATCAACAATGGACCAATCAGGCTATCAACAATCATCGTCTATTGTGACCAGCCGTACAGATGTGAGTCCGTCTAACATTCTTCCAAAACTCATTCCACCCTTCTTTTTAAATTAACAACTAAATTACATTTATAAAGCATCTATCATTTCCTTAGTTTCAATATTCCTGAGGTGGCATCTGTTACTAGTTTCCTGATTTTTCTCTTTTTGGTAGACTGAGTTGGTACAAAATGATCCTCCTTTACATAGAGGCCGCATTATTCATGTAAGTGCACCTATCTGTTAATTCAATAACATTAGTTTTGTATACATGCTTGTGTTTTTGGCACCATCCTGTATACTGTTAGATAACATTTTACTGCCACAAGTCACTGGTTTTCTGATTCATCTGAAAAGGGATACCTTTTGTCTTGTACTTAGTGCACAGTCATTTTCATTGACATGTCAACGTCGACAGCACCCTTCATTTGATTTTGAACTTGTAAACCAATTTTCTAATACTATTCTACTGTTTTTATTTGAACATTCAATTATCTGTCCACCATACCTTATTTCATTTTCCTATTTGTTATTCAGTTAGTCATGTATGTCTCAATTTCAATTTCAATGTTAGCGCCTCTTTTGATTTTTAACATGCACACTATTATTTCATTGTTATTTTACTGACTTAGCTTCTTGTTCTCTCAATAAATCTAAAGTCTTTTATTTCGAGTTTTAAATTATATTGATCAAGAATCTTATCTTTTCTTTTTTTCTTCTTTTAGCCACAAGGCTTCTTTTATACTGAAACTATTCCTACTTCATCTGCCTTCCACCATTCCCGTTCTGAGCATAACTCTCCTTATGCTCCTGAACTTCCTGAAGCATGCAGTAACAAAACAATCGGAAAAGACACCACTTCTGCATTAAAGTGACCGATTCTAGATGATCTGCCTATGTTCAAGTTTCCTGGAAAGAGACTAACCAAGAAGCCATCCAAATTTTATTCACCCTTCAAGCATGGCATTGTGTCTCATCCACCCAATTTAGAGTTTTCTTTGTGTATGCATGCCTTCCTTTGTGCAGATGACTCTCCATTGAAAAGGTTCATTCTGATTTCATATTCAAGCTTTCATTCTTTTCCTTCCATACTCCAGAATGCTTATTGAATTCCATTTAGGAAAACTTTGATGCACTTTGGGACAGAGTCATTGACTGGCCGAGATATTACATTTTCCTTTGCTATTGGGAAATTCATAGACCCTATGTTCATGGATGCATTTGTCAAATGCATAGCTAAAGATGACTTTCCTTCCAAGATTCCTTTCTTATTCCCTCCATATCGTGTTGTCTGTAGTACGAATGACTAACCAGGAAGTAGCAATGAAGTAATGTGATATGGATGCGTACTTGCAACCATTTGGTCTTGTTCGTGCCTTTTTATAAGCACTCTGTAACGTCTTGTTCGCACTCGCGCTACTTCCATAGGCCCATGCAGCGGCGCAAGACCGTGTCCGCGTGCTCATTCTCGTGCATGCCATGTCTTGATATCATGCATTGGCATAGGACCAAGCCATGGTCACACCGGCACAGGACCAAGCCGGGCTATAAAGGTGGATAAATTTCTATTCAAAGTACCATAAATAATATTTTAGGTGGATCCATTGCATGTGCTTTATTCCCAAGAGTTTGCATGGCTTGGTTCACTAGTGACAAAACATTTTTGGTTATTTCTCAAGAGTTATTTTCCCTAATTATTTTAAATAAATAAGACCTAAATTGCCTTAACATTCTCTTTACAGGAGTGGTAGTTAACTTAATTGCCAAAGGGTAAAACTGCTTAGCAAAGAGTTATCCGAGCTTCCCTGGAGGCATTTTTCTTATTCATGGTGCTATTAATTTCCATTTAAATTAAAGACGTCTGCAATAATGGGCATGCTATATTAAGACGAGTTTGACTCGTTACATGTGATCTATGTGTCGTCGTTTTCATGTGACTCATTGTTAGGCTCTTTGAGAACTAGACCCTTAACTTCATTTGAGCCTTGTCCTTCATCTTCGGTGCCAGAAGACTCTTCCGACACTTCAGGGGTCGGTAAATCTTCATCACTACTATCACCATAAGGATCATTGTCGATCCTTTTAGGTTTCTTGATGATCTTGTCAACGGTCGGAGGATCAAAAATTTTCTCCCTAGAAGCGACAAGAGGGTTTATATTTATCTCCGTGCGAGAAGGATTCACCTGCCCTTTAGGTGGTGGGTTAATTGAATTGTTGCGATTCCTCATTGTGTACCTTGAATTCGACGAGGTTGTATCCCTAGCTCCATGCTCATGTAATGCCATACGGTTTCGATAGTACTCCCAGTACCCCTCGTTAGACATACCAGGGGGCTTGGGCATGGTTGAATTTGTGGGTGAAAGAAACAAATATACGGATGAAAGGTGAGTTAGCAACGAGAACAGGAAACTATCAAGGGATGAGTTATAAAGAAGACCAAACTGCTTTAAACTCAACACAAATATTGCAATTAAAGGAGGAAGGTAAATATAGAAAAGAGCTATCTTCTGCTTGGTCTATACCTTTGCATGGGCTCCAGAGATGCCTTGCCTTTGCTTGGTCCTTTGCCGTTGCAAGGGCTCCAGAGATGGCGTGATCAAGGCTTGGTCCTGTGCCGCTACATGGGCGTGAGAATGGGCACGCTGGTCCTGCGCAGTTGCATGTTCCTGTACAAGCAACGTGGGTGCGAACAAGACCACCAAGTTTTGGTGTCTATAAATAGCAAAGAATACTGAATGGCTGCATGTACAGCTTAGAGAAGAATATATATTCGTGGGTGGAGCGTATTCATTTGTCAAAAGCAGAAAGGAGGGGCAACATGGCAGGAAGAAGCGAGGGTGACAAAGGAAAAAAAGTAGAGCCTTATAGGGAGGAGGAGGGTGATTATGACGTGAAGAATTCACGTGCAAGGAAGCTCATGGAAAAAGGCATGAAAATCGTCAAGAAAGCAAGTAAGTCCAAAAATAACTATAGGAAATGCATGGGTGACCTAGAAAATATAACTTCTTTGGATGGGCCTAAAGACAAGGATGATGCACACACGGATGGAAAGGTGAGTTGATTAGCAATCCGAATAGTTTAATCTAAAATTTTATCACAAAGGGAGTAAATTTGTATCATACTTGCAGGATTTGAAATGACAAATGAAGATGACGAAATTACCAAATGGAGATGAAACGAAGACAATGAGTCAGCAAATTGTTAGTCTCCAGGGAAGATGCTTATGGAGTTAGGCGGTGTGTGCAAACACATGTTTGAGAATTGGTCTGGATAATGTAGGCATTTGTGTTTGAAATAATAGACATTTTTGTGCTATATTGTGAGTTACGTGTTTGAAGGTGTGTACATGTGTCATGTGAGTAATAAAATACTGACACACACAAAATGTGATTGTAAAATTTCTAGAATTTTGTTGTTTGGATTATGGATGGATCAATGGAAAAGCAATAAAATTGTTCCATGCAGATGTGTTTATTGTATAAAGAATACATGGTTGGAAAAAAACATCAGACAAGGATTGTTCATGTCTCGGCAGACGGATTATTTGAAATTGTATATGGAAATATTGTAATGAAAAATATGAAGACCCACATGAATATGGTTCGCTTCAAGTAGTAACGAGTGAATAGATCACATGTAACGAGTCAAACTCGTCTTAATATAGCATGCCCATTATTGCAGACGTCTTTAATTTAAATGGAAATTAATAGCACCATGAATAAGAAAAATGCCTCCAGGGAAGCTCGGATAACTCTTTGCTAAGTAGTTTTATCCTTTGGCAATTAAGTTAACTACCACTCCTGTAAAGAGAATGTTAAGGCAATTTAGGTCTTATTTATTTAAAATAATTAGGGAAAATAACTCTTGAGAAATAACCGAAAATGTTTTGTCACTAGTGAACCAAGCCATGCAAACTCTTGGGAATAAAGCACATGCAATGGATCCACCTAAAATATTATTTATGGTACTTTGAATAGAAATTTATCCACCTTTATAGCCCGGCTTGGTCCTGTGCCGGTGTGACCATGGCTTGGTCCTATGCCAATGCATGATATCAAGACATGGCATGCACGAGAATGAGCACGCGGACACGGTCTTGCGCCGCTGCATGGGCCTGTGGAAGCAGCGCGAGTGCGAACAAGACGTTACAGAGTGCTTATAAAAAGGCATGAACAAGACCAAATGGTTGCAAGTACGCATCCATATCACATTACTTCATTGCTACTTCCTGGTTAGTCATTCGTACTACAGACAACACGATATGGAGGGAATAAGAAAGGAATCTTGGAAGGAAAGTCATCTTCAGCTATGCATTTGACAAATGCATCCATGAACACAGGGTCTATGAATTTCCCAATACCAAAGGAAAATGTAATATCTCAGCCAGTCAATGACTCTGTCCCAAAGTGCATCAAAGTTTTCCTGAATGGAATTCAATAAGCATTCTGGAGTATGGAAGGAAAAGAATGAAAGCTTGAAAATAAAATCAGAATGAACCTTTTCAATGGAGAGTCATCTGCACAAAGGAAGGCATGCATACGCAAAGAAAACTCTAAATTGGGTGGAGGACGAGACAGAATGCCATGCTTGAAGGGTGAATAAAATTTGGATGGCTTCTTGGTTAGTCTCTTTCCAGGAAACTTGAACATAGGCAGATCATCTAGAATCGGCCACTTTAATGCAGAAGTGGTGTTTTTTCTGATTGTTTTGTTACTGCATGCTTCAGGAAGTTCAGGAGCATAAGGAGAGTTATGCTCAGAACGAGAATGGTGGGAGGCAGATGAAGTAGGAATAGTTTCAGTATAAGAGAAGCCTTGTGGCTAAAAGAAGAAAAAAAGAAAAGATAAGATTCTTGATCAATATAATTTAAAACTCGAAATAAAAGACTTTAGATTTATTGAGAGAACAAAAAGCTAAGTCAGTAAAATAGCAATGAAATAATAGTGTGCATGTTAAAAATCAAAAGAGGGGCTAACATTGAAATTGAAATTGAGACATACATGACTAACTGAATAACAAATAGGAAAATGAAATAAGGTATGGTGGACAGATAATTGAATGTTCAAATAAAAACAGTAGAATAGTATTAGAAAATTGGTTTACAAGTTCAAAATCAATTGAAGGGTGCTGTCGACGTTGACATGTCAATGAAAATGACTGTGCACTAAGTACAAGACAAAAGGTATCCTTTTTCAGATGAATCAGAAAACCAGTGACTTGTGGCAGTAAAATGTTATCTAACAGTATACAGGATGGTGCCAAAAACACAAGCATGTATACAAAACTAATGTTATTGAATTAACAGATAGGTGCACTTACATGAATAATTCGGCCTCCATGTAAAGGAGGATCATTTTGTACCAACTCAGTCTACCAAAAAGGGAAAAATCAGGAAACTAGTAACAGATGCCACCTCAAGAATATTGAAACTAAGGAAATGATTGATGCTTTATAAATGTAATTTAGTTGTTAATTTAAAAAGAAGGGTGGAATGAGTTTTGGAAGAACGTTAGACGGACTCACATCTGTACGGCTGGTCACAATAGACGATGATTGTTGATGGCCTGATTGGTCCATTGTTGACAGAAAAAGTGAAGAATAATCGAACCCATAGGCTGAAAGTACGTAGGATGAAAAATAGCAGATATAAAATTGAGGGAAAAACTATGAAACAAAAAGAAAAGCATGGTAACCGTGTGGAGAAGGTGTTGGGCTGCCGTCTTCCGAGGTGGTGCTTCGTACTGGAGCCATAATTGGAGTGTGAACTGGACTGTTAGGATGAACAGTAGGATCATTTGTGACAATGAAGGAACCTGTATGGACGAAAAGAAAATAAAATATATAATTTCAGTTTGCTGTAAGAACTAAATTGTAAACATGAAAAGGAGGCCGTGGACATACCTGAGGTGGGAAAAGAGTTAGGAGCATGTGAGAAAACTGAAGTATCAGTGAAGATAAATCATAATAAAGGATAGTAAAAAAGTGATGCAGTTAGCACAATGGAACAATAGTTGAAAATATGAGAAAAAACAAACTATGTGGGTGCACCAGAAACATCTTTTGAAGAGGTGCACATCGGTGTAGTTGATGGACGAGGTAAGTCCTCATAAATATGAGGGGGTGAAACTACACAATGAACAGGGGAGCCAAATGGACCTGTCGGTGAAGTGGGGTTAAATGAACTAGGACCTACAAATGTCGAAGACATGAAACATAACGAAAATGACATAACAAAACAAATAAAAATAGCAAAGAATGGAGATAAAAAAACATGCAATCGGGGAAGTAGACAATACTTGGAGTGTTGCGAACGGGTGATTGTTCATCAATCTGGCTCCGAAGCAAAGTACCAGCAAAAACAAAGCTACCATGAGAATAAATCTCATGACCTGGGCATAAATGGAAAAATGTGTGACTATATTTGATACGTAGCAATAAGACATAGGGTGAGATAACGAATTTATTAACTAAAGCAAGAGTTTGCCTGGCTTTGAAGGCGGGGTACAATGGGCTGATTCACAGGTACCATGATCGTTGTGTGTATGCATTGTCCTAGAAGTGTCACCTGGAATGTTGGTGTCCCAGGTTTGTGATGCCACGAGTTCATGAATGAATGGACGACATTGATCAGCTAACTGAAACTGGGCTCTCACAATGTTTGCAATAGAATTCTCAATGGACCTTTTGTTCTGAGAGTGTGTGATCAAACTCAGAAAAGAAACCCCATACTCTCTCTCTATGCGAGCCAGTCAGATCATCTAGCGGCTCAAATAACAAATCCAGGAGGCGTGGGATGTCTAAATTGGGTATTCCTACCGCAGGAACATTTATGTTATGACAGGGAGCACCACGGACATCTGCAGCATAGCAGGTGGTACTCCATGGCTTGAACTGTTAGAGATAGTATTGAAGTGAAGAAAACAAGCTTCTTAATAATATGGTTGTAAAAAAGAAAAGGAATATAACAGATAAGATAGCTGACTCACAGGATGGACACCAAAAATATGTGCAAACTGAGTGGTTATAGTTGTATCAGCAACAGTTAAGCGATCCATTAGAGCATTATCATAAAAGGTGAGGCGTGGAGTCGAAGTCCGGTCCACCAATGAGACAGAGTGGTCAATGTTGTCGAGATAGTATACCTGTTGACAAAAAAGAAGGGGTGAAAAAAATTGGCACAGCCATACATTGTTAGGTGGTAGGAAAGCTGCAAAAAATAAATAAAAAGATGGATGGATGAAAAGAAATTTACTAGCAGGAAAATGGCACAACCATATATGTTTTGAGTGAGTTGATTTTTGTCACGATCGTGCGGTGTGAACAGACTATCGGACGATCATTG